AGTTTGATAAGATAAAAGTTGACAAGGTAAAGTTTGATAAGATAAAAGTTGACAAGGTAAAGTTTGATAAGGTAAAGTTTGATAAGATAAAAGTTGACAAGGTAAAGTTTGATATGGTAAAGTTTGATAAGGTAAAGTTTGATAAGATAAAGTTTGATAAGATAAAAGTTGACAAGGTAAAGTGGTAAAGTTTGATATGGTAAAGTTTGATAAGGTAAAGTTTGTTAAGATAAAAGTTGACAAGGTAAAGTTTGATATGGTAAAGTTTGATAAGATAAAGTTTGATAAGATAAAAGTTGACAAGGTAAAGTTTGATAAGGTAAAGTTTGATAAGATTAAAGTTGACAAGGTAAAGTTTGATAAGATAAAATTTAACAAGGTAAAGTTCGATATGATAAAATTTGATAAGGTAAAGTTTGATAAGATAATATTTGACATGGTAAAGTTTGATAATATAAAATTTAACAAGGTAAAGTTTGATAAGATAAAAGTTGACAAGGTAAAGTTTGATAAGATAAAAGTTGACAAGGTAAAGTTTGATAAGATGATTTTAACAAGGTAAAGTTTGATAAGATGATTTTAACAAGGTAAAGTTTGATACGATGATTTTAACAAGGTAAAGTTTGATGTGGTAAAGTATGATAAAGTACAGTTTAATAAGAGAAAGATTACTACGGCAAAGTTTAATCAGGTAAAGTTTGATAAGATTAAGTTTGATATGGTCAAGTTTGACAAGATAATATTTGATAAGGTAAAGTTTAATGAGGTAAAATAGGTAAGTTAAATTTTGATAGAGTTGAGTTTGATCTAATCACTAGAAGTTGAATAAGTTGAATTTAATACTTAAATAAAATAAATCAAAGCTTGCCAAGTACATTTTGTACTTTATATTAATCACGAAAAGTATAAAAACATTGGTTTAAGCTTCTCATAAAATTGTTTATATTTGTTTCGCATTTGTCATACTAGTTATTAATACTTTTCAATGTTTTAATTTATTGTAATCAGAAAATTGCATATATATATATATATATATATATATATATATATATATATATATATATATATATATATATATATATAGTTTTCTGTCTCAGGATGCGTGGCATGCGCCCCAGCAGTGTGATGTGGACGATATTGGTCTGTCATTCAAATATCTACCACCAAAACATCCGTTTTATGGCTCAGATGTAAGTGGTAGGGAGGTAAAAATATATATAGAGAGAGAGAGGGAGAGAGATAGAGCGGTAGTGAGGTAAAAAAAGATAAGTAAAGATATCCAAATGAAAAGAGGTAGTGAGTTAAAGAAATAGAAAAATATGTAGGTATAAGTGTAGAGAGGTAGAAGGACAGGCAGGTAGCTTAATTAAGAGTAATTAACATAATGACAATGTCGTTATACGATGTGTTGTATTTCATTGAATGTCAAAATAATACAACTAATACTCGCTAAACTATGTTTGATATACCAATATGTGTCAATATAATACAAGAAATCCTGGTCATATAATGTTTGATACCCCATTGTATGTCCATATAACACATGTTATTATCAACGTAATGCATCTGACTGTTTGTTCATTGTAACAATATTTTCGTCAAATTGTATTAGCTAATGAAAAATCTTAGTGAATGCTAATTTTATTGTTTTCTATTTTCAAAGGGCGAGGACGTCCCTAACTCGGCCCTGTACTCTGCCGTACAAATCATGGACAGTATCCCAGCAACGGGCAAACACCTGGTACACATCCACCAGTTTATTCACCTGGCGACCTTTCACCTGTCTGTAGCCGAACATCACCTCCGTCTAGTACGTGCGGCTATACAGAGATTGGTGTCACGGAACCCTAGCGTCCTGGTAGTCTACCAGACTGTCCACACCGCGTATGACAACACCTGTCCCATTAAACAGAAGATGAACTCGTTTATGTTGGAGCTACAGAGGCGGGTATTGAGGGGGGTCAGTGACAGGGTCATGCTGGCAGTGACGTGGCCGATGACAGTGGCGTCAGAGAACAAGTTATGCCATCCGACAGTCAGTGATCAGTTTCTGACATTTTATATGGGCCACATATGTGGGAGATTTTAATCTGAAGTTTTATATGGGCTATATATGTGGGAGATTTTAGTCTGACATTTTATATGGGCCATATATGTGGGAGATTTTAATCTTAGTCACTGATTCTGACAAATGGGCCATATGTGTGAAAGAATTTAATCTGACCTTTTATATGGGCCATATATGTGGGAGATTTTAATCTGAAGTTTTATATGGGCCATATATGTGGGAGATTTTAATCTGAAGTTTTATATGGGCCATATATGTGGGAGATTTTAATCTGACGTTTTATATGGGCCATATATGTGGGAGATTTTAATCTGAAGTTTTATATGGGCCATATATGTGGGAGATTTTAATCTGAAGTTTTATATGGGCCACATATGTGGGAGATTTTAATCCGACGTTTTATATGGGCCATATATGTGGGAGATTTTAATCTGACGTTTTATATGGGCCATATATGTGGGAGATTTTAATCTGACGTTTTATATGGGCCATATATGTGGGAGATTTTAATCTTAGTCATGGATTCTGACATATGGGCCATATATGTGGGAGATTTTAATCTGAGGTTTTATATGGGCCATATATGTGGGAGATTTTAATCCGACGTTTTAAATGGGCCATATATGTGGGAGATTTTAATCTGAAGTTTTATAAGGGCCATATATGTGGGAGATTTTAATCTGAAGTTTTATAAGGGCCATATATGTGGGAGATTTTAATCTGAAGTTTTATAAGGGCCATATATGTGGGAGATTTTAATCTGACATATGGGCCATATATGTGGGAGATTTTAATCTGAAGTTTTATATGGGCCATATATGTGGGATATTTTAATCTGAAGTTTTATATGGGCCATATATGTGAGAGATTTTAATCTGACGTTTTATACGGGCCGTATATGTGGGAGATTTTAATCTGAAGTTTTATAAGGGCCATATATGTGGGAGATTTTAATCTGACGTTTTATATGGGCCATATATGTGGGAGATTTTTAATCTTAGTCACTGATTCTGACATATGGGCTATATATGTGGGAGATTTTAATCTGGAGTATTATATGGGGCATATATGTGGTAGATTCTATTATTCTTTATATATAGCGGTTACTTTCCATATGTTAATTTTGTTATACATAAGTAGATTCTAATCGTACAATTGGTGACTTATATTTGACGTTCTACGTGGTTAATATTACATGTGGGATATTCTATTTATTCCACGGTTTAGTATCCAGATCCTGAATATTCGATCGCCAGTGTATGCACAAATTTTTGTATATGGTTTATACAAGTTATTAAAACCACGTGTAGACTAGTGTATGTGGAAGTTTTTGTATGTCGTTTATGTGCACTTAAACAAGCACGTGTATGCGAGTGTTTGAGTATTTTGTTGACAACATATGTTTATATTTGTTCGGCCATTTTAATTCGCCTCAAACTAGAATTACTTGAGAATAGATGTACATGTATTCAACTTGTAGGAATAGAGGCATGAGCTAAAGAAATCACTCAGGATTTTATACTATCGGTATTTCTGTGCTTATGTCTACTAGTTATGCTTAGCTCAACTTATTATTAATTTATTTCAAATGTCATCCCATAAACATTTTAACTTACATTTTTTCTGTTGATTTTTTCAATATTTATTACGTCACTTCATTAATGTGTGATGTAAAATGTCTTTTTAAAAATATTTGTAACAAGCAATAATTTCCTTAATGATTTCTCTATTCAATTTTCTCAATTAACCAGTGATTTACAATGTATTCCAGTACATATTTATTACTTGTATTATATTTTGTTTACATTTTTTCTGTATTTTACTATCGCAATTTATTCACATATGATTTCCATTTCATTGCTATCAAATAAACTCATGGTTATATCGTCTTTGAAAATAATTAATTAATGCTAGATTTGATTTGTCATGAATTCAAATAACAAAAAAATTCATTTTTAGCGGTGCTTCTAATTTGTAACACGCTACTAAGTGCTGGCATTACATTAGATAAAAGAAAAACAATTAGAGCGTTGGATTATAAACAAAATTTCTTTAGCAAAGTTTACAAATGTTATTAGCACTAAACAAGGATACCAGTTCTATTATTATTTGACAGAAATAGAATACACACATTCACAAAAATAGTGTGTTCTATTTAGTTAAAAGATGCTCAAGTAGTATGAGAAACCAATTAAAACCGAAACAAACAATAACAACAACAATAAATTGAGTATTAAAAAAAAAAGATACATCAATAAGTATACATTATGGTTCCAATTATTTAATTTTTTTAATCGTATAGTTGAATTTGCAAATGAAACAGTTGTTTTTGGGCTAAAAAAACGTACGCATCCACTTAAAACAACAACACCCATCTATGAAGCTTTAGAAATACTTTGACAAAACAGACGTATCACAAAAGTATTAAAGCTGATATACCTTGCATTACAATATACGTTTTCAAAACTGTCTCCACATTCAAACTTCCCGATTCATTGGGTAGATGAAGTAGAGTTCACTGTAAGACCAGCCGCTCTTATTTGATGTGAATTAGGTAACCATAAGAGGCTGGTGGACACAGAAACGTCATAAGGACTGAAGCACGGGATCCGAACACGAGAATTCGGGGGTACTGTCGAGCGCTCTACCGCTCCGCCACGCCGTTCCCATTACATTCACTCACTCACTCACATACACACACGCACACATACACACACGCACACGCATATATATATATATATATATATAATATATTATATATTTTATATTCATATATATACATACATACATATATATATATATATATATATATATATATATATATATATATATATATATATATATATATATATATATATATATGTGTGTGTGTGTGTGTGTGTGTGTGTATATAATTATATACCGAGAGAGAGGTTAACTTTTTGAAAAAAAATTATATATAATATCTACCGTTTTCCACACGAAACAAAGCAATAAAAATACTTTTAAAATTCTTGTTCAAGAAGATGTAGACGTAGAAATTACTGGAACTACTCAGGTAGTTCAGACACCTCAGGCAGGCGTTAACTGCCAGATTTAGCTGAGAGTTTTCCTCCATCTGCTCAGACATGACACTGACGACGACAAAGTAGATGAAGTTGGTGATAGAGAAGATCAACGACACGGCGAGAAGTGTGCGGGTTGTGCGGGTTGTGCGGGGTGGGTGAGTGGATTTCCTGCTGGAGAGTTTCTTCCTCGTGGCGTGTGTGAGTCGGATCTTGACGCTGACCAGCAGTGACCCTACCACGATGATGGTCACGAGGAATACACTGCTGAGGTAGTTTAAGACGTAGTCATCAAACACGTGTACTATGTTGTAGTTGCTTGTACAGTATGGCGATAGCTGTTGTACTCCGGTGAATTTGTTACCCCCTAGTGGGTAGTAAAAAAAATCTAGACAAGATTGCCAGAACAGTATCCATGGTAACCAAGCAATAAAGACGAGTATTATGATAAATATGGCTTTGTTGGTTGTCATAATTTGTTTGAATTTTAGCGGGAGGAAAATAGCGAAGCATCGTTCGACTGAAATAACAGCAGGCAGTGTGGTTGACGTGTACAGTCCGAGGTTGGTGACGGTGGTGAACACGCTGTGGATGATGTGGATGGAGTAAGCGATGGGGTATGGATAGCGCCATCCGATGTACGCGTAGGTCAGCCGTGCGTTGAAGGTGTACTGGAGGAATCCAGTGGGAGCCACGCCCCCCAACAGGAACATGGAGTCGGCGAGGGTTAACCCCAGGAGGAAAATGTTGGACGTTCTGCGCATGCCCGACCTCACGAGCACGAGGAGACCGAGCGAGTTTGTCAACAAGCCGGCGCCGGCCACTGAAGGGTTAACGATAAAAAACATGGCGGCGTAGATGTGAACGAGCGTCTGGTCGGGGTTCGAATCCCTGACAGCGGGGTGCGGTACGGTTGGGTTGACAGTGTCTGTTGTAGATTGGCTATCTAATGCCATGTGGGGTTTTAATAATTAATATTTAATTTTTAAAAATATTTGAGAACAAGTTTTTAAAATAATTTATATGATCTCGTGTTAAATAGTTTTAAACAAAAGAAAAGAAAACGTTACTGATGTATTTATCGGAGCAAAGCGATGAAATTTGAAACCAAGTTATAAAATAATTAGTTATGTATATACCCGAAGGCCAACAGTAAAAAGTTATAAAACCAACTTAATTGGCAAAAGCTTATATTTTCCAGAGGAATTCATGAATTTCTATTTTCGTTAATATCTCATCTTAAAATTAAACATACATTTTTAATTCATCACAACAAAATTTCGAAAGCAAATTTAAATAGCTTTTTAAAAATTAAATTTAAAAAAAAACAACAAAACATGAATACTCTAATTTTATGTAAAACACAAACTGTTCATACTATCGTTCATACTATAATCACGATGTAGGTATGACCGTATTGTAAACGAAACAAATCTTGCAAGAAACCAAATAATCGTTAAGGAGACAACGACTTAAATTTCCTGCTGAAATCCTAAATGTATTGTACTTAAATAGGAGGTGTTAGCACTTGTGTAAATCAATAGCAATTTTAATGCCACCTTTTGAGTCAGCTTAAACGTTGCTTGCTTAATACGAGGACTGAAATTACATAATCACACACAATCACAAATAGGTTAATTTGCAAATTTTAAACAATAATTTCCCTTACTTGTAAGGTTTTCATTTTTGTAGTGCATTGATTGTAAAACAATTTGTCGAAATTTTTAAACATAATCACAGTATACATCTATTTCACTGATAGATTCTATCTTGTGTCAAATTTAACCATCTGTTAATTAAGATAATTTTTAAAAATGCAGCAGAGCAGTTTAATAATTTAATTCCACGTGCGATAATTTTCTTTGTATAGCTGCCACAGTTTAAAAAAAATTTCTGCAGCAATTTTCATGGAAGTTTAATTTTTTTTATTTTCTAATGACTCATTTAATAATAATAAAACTCATTTTAAATTTGCGTTATCTAGATTTTTAAAAAATACGGCAATCTCTGGCCTTTTTTCTTATTTAACTATACACCGGTTCTATGATATTATTTCTGAATAAGCAACCGTAGTTATACCGTCCAACCACTTTAGGCTACTATTTTCAGAGTACTAAAATTGTCGCACAATCCTATCTGAACATCACATTTGAACAAATATCCACCCATTGCAAGAACTAAACCATACGGGCATAAAGATGTTTACTGTGTCCTTGAGTCGACTCAGATCTAACCGGTACCTAACCCAAGGCTTGACATACTGCTGACCACAATATCCCTTTACGTGCGGGGCAACAGAAACAGCTTAACGCTACTTTATCTAGCACAGTTTGATGGGAAGCTTTTGTGAGGTGTATTGAAATAATAATTGGAATGGGAAGAAAATGGTTTACGGTAAATTATTTTTTCTCAGACATGTAATTTACAGAGTTAGTTTGCCTTGCATTGTTCGCTTTAGTATTACAGTTTTTATCATCGGCTTGTGAGGACTGGTACAGATTTACAATAGTAATACTTCTTTCAGACATGTACTTTCATTCATTCAGATTGTTTAATTATGCATAAGAAAATACGTCTAATTACACTTCTATTTTCAAAACTAAAAATGCAAACGTGCAATTTTATAATTTTTATTTCTTTCCCGCCTCAGACGTAATTTACAGCGTCAGTTGTGTGTTCGCTTTGGCTTTAGTATTACAGTTTTCATCATCGGCTTGTGAGGACTGATATAGATTTACAATAGTAATATGTCTTTCTTACTTGTAGCCTACTTTCATTCATTTAAGATGCTTTACTTTTTTTTTGTTTATTTTTTTACTCTTTTAAAATTAGTAACGTTAACGATGAAGGTTTAGCAGCAATCGATTGTGACATAGAGTTTTTAAAATAACCAAAAGTATGATTATGTTCAGGGTTTCTATTTCAAATATTAAATATAAAACGATTTTATTTTAAATCAATTAACTTAATTATAACATTCTTGTCAAAAAATTATTATTTTATATTGTTTTATAAAATAAAATACTTTGCCATTGTTATTTCTGTTAGCTACCTAGCACTTTAATTTTTTTTTTTAAATTATGCAAAGGTTATCTACCTTAGATTGGTTAAAATCTATAAAGGGCGTTATAAAAACAAAACAAACGTAACATTATTTAAAGGTTCATCGAGATGTTTTTCTTATTATAGATTTATTAGGTCACAATGTTTATGTTTGTGTTGTGTTGGTAAGATGGAACAGCAAAGACATCTACAACAACATCAGCATGAAAAGATCGCTAGAAACATCCATCACCCACAACGGCAAAAAGAACAACAATATAAACCCCAATAACATTTACAGTGACCACTACAGAAAATCAAAATATCAACATTAACAACAACATTAACAACAACAGCAACAACATCATTAACAACATAAACCACAACAGAAACAACATTAAAATCAATATTAACCACAACAGTAATAACACTAATAATATTAACCACAAAAGCAATAACATCAAAAACAACATTAACCATAACAGCAACAACACCAGCAACATTAACCACAACTGCAACAAGAAACCCAAACATTATAAACATAAACCGCAACAGCAACATGAACAACATTAACAGCAATAGCCACAACATCGGCAACAACAACACCACCATAACAATGATGCACCATTAGCAGCAGACAATCTAGCATGATGCTAGGCACCGTATCCGGACAATCCACCAACCAGACGGTACAAGACATCGGCACCGTATCCGGACAATCCACCAACCCGACGGTACAAGACGTCAGGCACGGTATCCGGACAATCCACCAACCAGACAGTACAAGACGTCAGTCACGGTATCCGGACAATCCACCAACCAGACGGTACAAGATATCAAGCACGGTATCCGGACAATCCACCAACCAGAGGGTACAAGATGTCAGGCACCGTATCCGGACAATCCACCAACCAGACGGTAGAAAACGTCATGCACCTTATCCGGTCAATAAGCCAGACGGTACAAGACTTCAGGAACCGTATCCGGACAATCCACCAACCTGACGGTACAAGACGTCAGGCAACGTATCCGGACATTCCAACAAACCAGATGGTACAAGACGTCAACAACGGTTTCCGGACAATCCACTAACTAAGCGGTACAAGACGTCAGGCACCGTATCCGGACAATAAGCAAGACGGTACAAGACGTCAGGCACAGTATCCGGACAATAAGCCTGACGGTACAAGACGTCAGGCACGATATCCGGACAATCCACCAACCAGATGGTACAAGACTTCAGGCACCGTATCCGGACAATCCACCAACCAGACGGTACAAGACGTCAGACAACGTATCCGGACAATCCACCAACCAGACGGTACAAGACGTCAGACACCGTATACGGACAATCCACCAACCATACAGTACAAGACGTCAGGCACCGTATCCGGACAATCCACGAACCAGACGGTACAAGACGTCAGGCACCGTATCCGGACAATCCACCAACCAGACGGTAGAAGACGTCAGGCACCGTATCCGGACAATCCAGACGGTACAAGACGTCAGGCACGGTATCTGGACAATCCAGACGGTACGATGTTCCTGAGCTGAACCCGAAGAAAGTACACAACAGAGACTTTACTTCGTTAGCTAAACTTTAACTGCTGACACTTAAACATGTAAAAACTTATTTCATGTGTTCTTGCGACATGAAGTCTTAATATTATTGCTTCGGGTGTCACCCGGTGCGGTACTTAATTGTGTCATCCCCCCTCCCCCCAGAGGCGTAGCGACCCTTCTCGTGGACAAACTTTCAATTTTTTGATTTGCACCCCCCCCCCTCCCCCTCAAACTTTCAATTTTCATATCTTAAAAGACTATTTAACGCTCGAATTAATTACTTAATTAGGTGGAATTATCATTTTTCTCTATATATTTTGCTATTTTTTGCCTTAATATCACCCCCCTAAATGGTGTCACCCGGTGCGGTCCGCACCACCGCCCCCCCCCCCTTGCAACGCCTCTGACGGCACCTAAGCCATGGCATTTTCTGCAATGTTGTCGCAACAGTCAAGAGCACCTGACTCCACTTCTGTACACACGTGTACCTGTGACTTGACCTTTTGACTTAAGTGTACCTGTAACTTGACCTATTGACTTTAGTGTACCTGTGACTTGACCTATTGACTTAAATGTACCTGTGACTTGACCTATTGACTTAAATGTACATGTGACTTGACCTATTGACTTAAGTGTACCTGTGACTTGACCTATTGACTTAAGTGTACCTATGACTTGACCTATTGACTTAAGTGTACCTGTGACTTGACCTATTGACTTAAGTGTACCTGTGACTTGACCTATTGACTTAAGTGTACCTGTGACTTGACCTATTGACTTTAAGTGTACCTGTGACTTGACCTTTTGACTTAAGTGTACCTGTGACTTGACCTATTGACTTAAGTGTACCTGTGACTTGACCTATTGACTTAAGTGTACCTGTGACTTGACCTATTGACTTAAGTGTACCTGTGACTTGACCTATTGACTTAAGTGTACCTGTGACTTGACCTTTTGACTTAAGTGTACCTGTGACTTGACCTTTTGACTTAAGTGTACCTGTGACTTGACCTATTGACTTAAGTGTACCTGTGACTTGACCTATTGACTTAAGTGTACCTGTGACTTGACCTATTGACTTAAGTGTACCTGTGACTTGACCTTTTGACTTAAGTGTACCTGTGACTTGACCTATTGACTTAAGTGTACCTGTGACTTGACCTATTGACTTAAGTGTACCTGTGACTTGACCTATTGACTTAAGTGTACCTGTGACTTGACCTATTGACTTAAGTGTACCTGTGACTTGACCTATTGACTTAAGTGTACCTGTGACTTGACCTATTGACTTAAGTGTACCTGTGACTTGACCTTTTGACTTAAATGTACCTGTGACTTGACCTATTGACTTAAATGTACATGTGACTTGACCTATTGACTTAAGTGTACCTGTGACTTGACCTATTGACTTAAGTGTACCTGTGACTTGACCTATTGACTTAAGTGTACCTGTGACTTGACCTATTGACTTAAGTGTACCTGTGACTTGACCTTTTGACTTAAGTGTACCTGTGACTTGACCTTTTGACTTAAGTGTACCTGTGACTTGACCTATTGACTTAAGTGTACCTGTGACTTGACCTATTGACTTAAGTGTACCTGTGACTTGACCTATTGACTTAAGTGTACCTGTGACTTGACCTATTGACTTAAGTGTACCTGTGACTTGACCTATTGACTTAAGTGTACCTGTGACTTGACCTATTGACTTAAGTGTACCTGTGACTTGACCTATTGACTTAAGTGTACCTGTGACTTGACCTATTGACTTAAGTGTACCTGTGACTTGACCTATTGACTTAAGTGTACCTGTGACTTGACCTATTGAATTAAGTGTACCTGTGACTTGACCTTTTGACTTAAGTGTACCTGTGACTTGACCTTTTGACTTAAGTGTACCTGTGACTTGACCTATTGACTTAAGTGTACCTGTGACTTGACCTTTTGACTTAAGTGTACCTGTGACTTGACCTTTTGACTTAAGTGTACCTGTGACTTGACCTATTGACTTAAGTGTACCTGTGACTTGACCTATTGACTTAAGTGTACCTGTGACTTGACCTATTGACTTAAGTGTACCTGTGACTTGACCTTTTGACTTAAATGTACCTGTGACTTGACCTATTTACTTAAGTGTACCTGTGACTTGACCTATTGACTTAAGTGTACCTGTGACTTGACCTTTTGACTTAAGTGTACCTGTGACTTGACCTATTGACTTAAGTGTACCTGTGACTTGACCTATTGACTTAAGTGTACCTGTGACTTGACCTTTTGACTTGAGTGTACCTGTGACTTGACCTATTGACTTAAGTGTACCTGTGACTTGACCTATTGACTTAAGTGTACCTGTGACTTGACCTATTGACTTAAGTGTACCTGTGACTTGACCTTTTGACTTAAGTGTACCTGTGACTTGACCTATTGACTTAAGTGTACCTGTGACTTGACCTTTTGACTTTAGTGTACCTGTGACTTGACCTATTGACTTAAGTGTACCTGTGACTTGACCTATTGACTTAAGTGTACCTGTGACTTGACCTTTTGACTTAAGTGTACCTGTGACTTGACCTATTGACTTAAGTGTACCTGTGACTTGACCTTTTGACTTTAGTGTACCTGTGACTTGACCTATTGACTTAAGTGTACCTGTGACTTGACCTATTGACTTAAGTGTACCTGTGACTTGACCTTTTGACTTTAGTGTACCTGTGACTTGACCTTTTGACTTAAGTGTACCTGTGACTTGACCTTTTGACTTTAGTGTACATGTGACTTGACCTATTGACTTAAGTGTACCTGTGACTTGACCTATTGACTTAAGTGTACCTGTGACTTGACCTATTGACTTAAGTGTACCTGTGACTTGACCTTTTGACTTAAGTTTACTTGTGACTTGACTTATTGACTTAAGTGTACCTGTGACTTGACCTATTGACTTAAGTGTACCTGTGACTTGACCTATTGACTTAAGTGTACCTGTGACTTGAACTTTTGACTTAAGTGTACCTATGACTTCACCTGTTGACTTAAGTGTACATGTGACTAGACCAGTTGACTAAAGTGAACATTACGCATCCAAAATACAATTGTTTCATAACATCTAATATATACAAGATTTCAACACTATAATTTAATAAGTGTGTACATAATTATCCACACTACATAGATATACGTACAGCTTCCACTATCCGCATATAATATTTGATTGCTGTGCTAAACCTAAAATAAGAAGATTGAATTCTACCTTACCACAATTGTATACGTGAAACTCAGCCTTTAACACCATTCTAATTAAAGTTTTAAAGACAACACCTTGGGATGACAGCGGTCACGTGATGTTATATCGCAAAATTGAACGTCAGCCATTTTTAACTCGAGATGTCAACACAGAGAGTAACTTCAAGCCGCGTTTAACAAGGTATGTGCAAGCAATGTGGCAGTGTTCTGGTTTTTTAAAGTACTGCCTCTATTAAAAGCGTGTTTTTATTCATCTACCCATTTCCTCTTGTAATAATCGTTCAAATAACAATGTCAATAGTAAGTAAGTATATCTAGTTTTTGCTTATAGTAGTAAACATTTTAAATTCTTTTTTACCTACCGATCCATTCAGAGGCGTAGCGATGGGGGTGGGGGGCGGACCGCACCGGGTGACACCATTTAGGGGGGTGACACCAAGGAAAAAAATAGCAAAATATATAGAGAAAAACTTGAGGTGGGGGTGCAAATTGAAAGCTTGAGGGGGGATGTGCAAATCAAAAGTTTGAGGGGGAGGGGGGGTGTGCAAATAAAAAAATTGAAAGTTTGTCCCAGGGAAGGGTTCCTACGCCTCTGGGGGTTGACACCATTAAGTGCCGCACCGGTTGACACCCGACCTCGCTACGCCACTGGATCCATTGGGTAGATAGAGTTCATATGTTTCTAACCCGGTTTCAAACTCGAGGCTTTCTACCGCTTGGCTACGTCTTCTCCTATTTAAGTATGTGCAGCATATACATACATACATAAATATATATATATATATATATATATATATATATATATATATATATATATATATATATATATATATATATATATATATATATATATATATATATATATATATATATATATATATATATATATATAATTTGCCATTACATATAAGCCTATACATCATAACTCGAGCCTTGTGGCTTGCAACAGAACTCTCTACCATTCGATCATGCCGCCCCTCATTTATATTATTAATATAATTATTACATGTCAAATAAACCACTAGTTCATATTCTAAAACTAAAAGTTCAACGACTAATATTTTAATTTAAAAACAGAGAGAACCCAGCCATTATGATGGAGCTGGTCATTGAAGTTCTGCTGGCAAATCTCGTACGTGTATTCTGTGTTGGAGCGACGTATTTCGAGACAAGGGACAACGTCACGTTTCAACAGAGGTCTAAGCCGGGTGTCATCGGAACACACAGAGTAAACTTTTTTTACTTTCTCGTATATATGAAGTAGATCTATAGAGAATGTCTTGTAATCGTGCAAGAAAGAAAAATCGAAATTTTTACAAATCTCAAAGTTTTACATCTCCCTGGGTCGGAAAAACATATTTTTGCAATCTTGTCCGTATGTCTGTGTGTGTGTGTGTGTGTGTGCGTGTGTGTGTGTCTGTGTCTGTGTGTCTGTAAACACGATAACTTGAGTACCGTTACAGCTAGGTTGATGAAATTTCATATATAAGTATTTTATCAAAATCATAGATCCGTATCAACTTTTGAGCGATTTCCGATAACCGGAAGTGGTACTTTTTCTACTTTGAATTTTTTAAAAGCCTAAAACCTAGTACTATTTCAGATAGATAAATGAAATGTCACATGTAAGTAAAAGATCTAATCCTCTACCTTCTATCAAATTGTGAGTATTTCCGTTGACCGGAAGTACTAATTTACGCTATTTCCGATTTCTCAAAAAACGCATGTAAATTTATAAAGTGCTATAATATTCCGCACTATTATGCATATTTTGTTTTGGCGTTCGCTTGGTGCGCAATTCTTTTTCCTATGAGATTCTATTCTATTTTTAAAAGTTTAAGTAATTAAAAATCATGTCTATATTCCGAGTTGCCATAGCACGTAGTGTTATATAAGAATATTCGAGAAAGTTTAGGGGAGATCACTCCCGGTTTAATGTAGTTATTTTCATAACGTTAATACAATGGATACCAGCTTGGTGGTTGTAAAACACAGACTTTTTTCATCATCAACGGGGCAGTGTGGTCGTTTGGTAGGCCGCACGGTATCTCGCCAGTGAGTGTCGGGTACAAATCCCGGACTCGAGTCCTTAGAAAGTCTATAGTAAAAGTAAAAAAGTTTCCCTTTCAAATCTGACGGTCTATGGGGCAAGTGAAGTAGAGTTCACTTGTTTCTCTGACCTCGGCATATAAAGAGATAGTGTCGTCAGCACTATGCCCAGCCGCCTTTACTTTCCTTAACATGAGTTAGGTACCCATCAGAGTTGGGTGGACTCTGAGACGGTCTACTGACTTGAACCCGGATTCGACCGCGAGACTTACGGAATAGCAGTCCAGCTCTCTCCCATTAGAAAGTCTTTATTACCACTCTAATCCAGGGTACGTTAGAGAAAATAAAGGCGGCTGGGCATAGTGCTGACCCCACTATCTCTTCATATGCCGCGGTCACAGAAACAGGTAAACTCTACTCCAATTGCCCAATAGATCGTCAGGTTTGAAAGGGAAACTTTTTATCTGACTCACATTGGCCATTGTTCAGCCTGCTGATCACACTACCCCTTCATAATATGCCAATGTCACAGAAACTGGTCAACTCTTCTTCACCTACCCAAGAACATCTCTAGTCGCTCGAGAGAAATTTCTAAAAGCTGTCATTTATTATGTCTGCCTGTCTAACCTAAATGTGCTTTTACACTTGAATATGCTTAAACACCTCCACGATCATGTGTGGGCATATATTGCATATTTTACTATTATAACAATTTATATAGATTACACACACAAATCTACACTATTTCCTTGCGAATAAATATAATTGCAAAAAAAATAAAAATTAAAAAAAAATAAAATAAATAATGATATAATAGTGTAATTTGTATAATGGTTGATGTTGTTATATGATAATAAAATATATTTGTTACTCACAAAGTACAAAATGCCGTATACCGGAGAAATACTTTATCCAATTCATAATGGCAAAGAAATCATCATTGAAGGAGCCGTTCCCATAAAAGCAACGAGGTAGTACAAGAATTTTGTTTTCTTTACCTATACAGAGTAGGCCTACAGAGAAGGTGTTTTAATGTGTCGACATCTATTTTGACAATGTTCTCAGTTTTCACCTCCATACTGTATTGTATACGGAGTTTTGATTTTAGTTTTGCCAAAAAAAAAACTGGATTTGTTATCGCCCAGGTTCGCGTTCGAGTTGTGCCCGTCACGTGATTGTATGTATGAGTCTGAACTCCACGTCAACGTCAGGTTCCAAACACATAACATCGTCATCAACAACAAGAGGTTCGGTGTCTGGGGCAGAGAATGCACGTCGATACTCAGACTCGTTCGTGGTAGAGATATGGTCATCAGGATCGTCATAGATCCCGACAAGTATGGGGTAAGGTCATTTGTCATCATCCCAAGTATGAGGTAAAGGTCAAGGTTATAAGATACCAAGTATGGGGTAAGGTCGTTGGTCATCACACCAAGTATGGGGTAAGGTCAATAGTCATCACACCAAGTATGGGGTAAGGTTAATGGTCATCACACCAAGTATGGGGTAAGGTCAATGGTCATCACACCAAGTATGGGGTAAGGTCAATGGTCATCACACCAAGTATGGGGTAAGGTCAATAGTCATCACACCAAGTATGGGGTAAGGTCAATGGTCATCACACCAAGTATGGGGTAAGGTCAATGGTCATCACACCAAGTATGGGGTAAGGTCAATAGTCATCACACCAAGTATGGGGTAAGGTCAATGGTCATCACACCAAGTATGGGGTAAGGTCAATGGTCATCACACCAAGTATGGGGTAAAGTCATTGGTCATCACACCAAGTATGGGGTAAGGTCAATGGTCATCACACCAAGTATGGGGTAAGTTTAATGGTCATCACACCAAGTATGGGGTAAAGTCATTGGTCATCACACCAAGTATGGGGTAAGGTCAATGGTCATCACACCAAGTATGGGGTAAGGTCATTGGTCATCACACCAAGTATGGGGTAAAGTCATTGGTCATCACACCAAGTATGGGGTAAGGTCAATGGTCATCACACCAAGTATGGGGTAAAGTCATTGGTCATCACACCAAGTATGGGGTAAGGTCAATGGTCATCACACCAAGTATGGGGTAAGTTTAATGGTCATCACACCAAGTATGGGGTAAAGTCATTGGTCATCACACCAAGTATGGGGTAAGGTCAATGGTCATCACACCAAGTATGGGGTAAGGTTAATGATCATCACACCAAGTATGGGGTAAGGTCAATGGTCATCACACCAAGTATGGGGTAAGGTCAATGGTCATCACACCAAGTATGGGGTAAAGTCATTGGTCATCACACCAAGTATGGGGTAAGGTCAATGGTCATCACACCAAGTATGGGGTAAAGTCATTGGTCATCACACCAAGTATGGGGTAAGGTCAATGGTCATCACACCAAGTATGGGGTAAGGTCAATGGTCATCACACCAAGTATGGGGTAAGGTCAATGGTCATCACACCAAGTATGGGGTAAGGTCAATGGTCATCACACCAAGTATGGGGTAAGGTCAATGGTCATCACACCAAATATGAGGCAAAAGAAATGTTTATCACTAGTATTTATGACTATAAACCATCCTGTAAAAGTAAGTGTATGTACGAAAACGTTCATCTGTAAGCGTGTAATAAAAGTTTTTGCGAAATATTTGGTGAATATGAACTTGTGTTGCCGAAATATTTTGCAAATATGAACTTGTGTTGCTGATATTATCATTCACAGCTCTTTTATCGCTTAAAAAAGATTACGTCAACAGTTTTAAGTATACGACTGACGAAAGTAATAACGGAAATGTGAATGGTATTAAAATGATTTCCTTACCACTATAATCAAAATAACATCCACATGTTTTTTTTTTCTTCAAGGTTTACCACATGTTTTTTTTTTCTTCAAGGTTTATTTCAACAAAACACTTTACGTTGCATACAAAGGAAAAACAAGGTTGGACAAATTAAAATACATTCGGGTATATCGCGACATCATAGTACACTGGATTTTGTATTCTGTGAGTGCTCTTGTGTTCTTTAATACGTGTACATGTATGTATGGATATTGCTAGGTAAAGATGCATTTGTAGGTGTAGGTGTAGGTGTAGGTGTAGGTGTAGGTGTAGGTGTAGGTGTAGGTGTAGGTGTAGGTGTAGGTGTAGGTGTAGGTGTAGGTGTAGGTGTAGGTGTAGGTGTAGGTGTAGGTGTAGGTGTAGGTGTAGGTGTAGGTGTAGGTGTAGGTGTAGGTGTAGGTGTAGGTGTAGGTGTAGGTGTAGGTGTAGGTGTAGGTGTAGGTGTAGGTGTAGGTGTAGGTGTAGGTGTAGGTGTAGGTGTAGGTGTAGGTGTAGGTGTAGGTGTAGGTGTAGGTTTAGGTTTAGGTTTAGGTTTAGGTTTAGGTTTAGGTTTTAGGTTTAGGTTTAGGTTTAGGTTTAGGTTTAGGTTTAGGTTTAGGTTTTAGGTTTAGGTTTAGGTTTAGGTTTAGGTTTAGGTTTAGGTTTAGGTTTAGGTTTAGGTTTAGGTTTAGGTTTAGGTTTAGGTTTAGGTTTAGGTTTAGGTTTGGGTTTAGGTTTAGGTTTTGGTTTAGGTTTAGGTTTAGGTTTAGGTTTAGGTTTAGGTTTAGGTTTAGGTTTAGGTTTAGATTTAGGTTTAGGTTTAGGTTTAGGTTTAGGTTTAGGTTTAGGTTTAGGTTTAGGTTTAGGTTTAGGTTTAGGTTTAGGTTTAGGTTTAGGTTTAGGTTTAGGTTTAGGTTTAGGTTTAGGTTTAGGTTTAGGTTTAGGTTTAGGTTTAGGTTTAGGTTTAGGTTTAGGTTTAGGTTTAGGTTTAGGTTTAGGTTTAGGTTTAGGTTTAGGTTTAGGTTTAAGTTTAGGTTTAAGTTTAAGTTTAAGTTTAGGTGCAGGTATAGATGAGCGCGGAAGAGTTATGTCAAAAAATATGCTACTTAATCAATAATAAAAACATTTTTTTTCCTTTCAGTTGCTAACACCAGTAAGTACATTAAAATGTAAATTTAGGTTAATATGGATATACGAGCCGACCCGCTGCGTATCATACGCCGCTATTTAGTTGTTTTTTTTTTCTACTTTTCGGTAATTTATAATTTGTGAATTCGACAGTACCAATGCTGCCATTGAAAATATTTGCTTAAAAACACTACCCCCTCCCCCCACGTGAAAGCAGCCTCCTCTTAGTTACCTCCTCTCAGTTTAAAATCGTTTCAAACTAAATTATCTGCCCCTAATAGCCGTCACCAAACCCGTCTCTTTGATTGTAAAATGTAAACAGAGTGAACACCGCTCACCAGATCATGTGGGGGTGGGGTGGGGGTGGTAGTGATAGTGATAGAGAGGAAGAGAGGGGACTGCAAAGGCGCGCTTGCAGCTTGTTTTCTAACTGATCCCAGAAGAGAATTATATATATAGATAGCTATAGTTAAATATTTATATGGTAAGTTAGTGCTACAGTTACTTTTATTTATATAGCTATACCATAGTAGTAATTGTCACGCTTATTGACATTGCACACTGAAGGCGGTGGTTGTGCTTATTCTTTAGAATGGCATGATTGCTTGCGATAGCTAAGTTTTAAAAGGTCTTGCTTACCTCATTTATAAACATTATACGCCATGTATAAACATTACCTTGTTATATTGTTTATGTACTGTTGTAGCCACAGATGATATCGTTTACTCGATCACATTGGCACAAGTTCATTTTCTACGCCGCCCCAGTACATTCAACTAAAAGGTAAAACCAATTCCTGTCACAGTACATTTATCCAGTAAAACCAATTCCTGTCACAGTACATTCAACCAAAAGGTAAAACCAATTCCTGTCACAGTACATTCAACCAAAAGGTAAAACCAATTCCGGTCACAGTACATTTATCCAGTAAAACCAATTCCGGTCACAGCTTTGAATTTCATTGCATAGGCATTTTTTTTCCATACAAATCATTGCGGTCAGAACAAGGATATATTTAGGCTTGCAATCATTTCGAGGGTGTGTTGGTTGAGTTTTACGTTGACTTGTTATTTTTTAGTTCTATTTTCACCGCTAGTAACATTGATTGTTAAGACTTAGACTTAAACTATGTCGATATTAACTATAGCAAGAAGAGATATATATATATATATATATATATATATATATATATATATATATATATATATATATATATATATATATATATATATATATATGGACTATATATATCGCTCTAGTAAGAGTTCAAATCCGGATTCAGATCAGTGGAGCATCCCTGAGCCCACCCAACTCTAATGGGTACCTAACTCACGTTAGGGAAACAAAGACGGCTAGGTATAGTGCTGACCACACTATCTCTTCATATGCCGAGATCAATGAATCAGATGAACTCTACTTAAACTACCCCGTGTTTTTTGGACACGGACAGAATTAAGAAGAAGATCTCGCCTCCCTAGAACTAGATTATTCAAACTTCACTTTTTATAAATGTTTACAACAAGGCTTCACACTTATGTTTTCCCTAACATTTATAACAGATGGTGGAATTAAAGTATCGTGTTTTAATGGTAAGAAATATGGCTACTCATTTTTTACCCATGGTGGATTGAGAACACGCCCGTGCATAAATTTTGAAAAAACAAAAAGGAGTTAGAACAGTCTGGTTCTGGGCAAGCGATATATGTATATCATAAACATACATAGTTGTAATAGACAGATAGACACATATGTATGACGGCTGATCGATTTGTGTATCACAGTTTTGCCTTTGAGTTTCGCTGTGGGGAGAACGAAACAGCTGTTGCTGTTATCTACGACATGGCTGCCCAGAGGCTGTGCCTTACCAAACGAACCGCAGCCAATGGCTGGAACGAATTATCAGCCATGTTGGGGGGCTTGAAGTTGATGAAAAACGTACCGTTCGAGTTGGAAGTGTTGTTAGGACCACCACTAACAGAGGTACGGAAAATCTATCTAAGTTTAAATTCAAGTATCGTGTCATTCTGATATAGTATTTTAAAATAACTAAAACATTCTTATATATATATATATATATATATATATATATATATATATATATATATATATATATATATATATATATGTATATATATATATAGGCCTATATATAATTATTTATAAGCCAAATTTACAATCACTGAGATACGTAAATCATTATAGTATATCGAGATTTGCACCAGTCAACAATATATATTGTTATAAACTCGTAGATTTATAATTCATTTTCCGATAAGTGAAAACTAAATAAATGTTTTTTTTTTTTCAGATAAGATTTAATAAATATATACTCTACACCTACCCCCGAACGTTGGATTGTTTTGATAATTTATTGCACTATGATGTGAATGTAACTTTAATGTATACATCATGAGAGATTAGTTTCAAGATGTGAATGTAGCTTAATGTATACGTTAAGAGAACTATAAGTTCCAAGATGTGAATGTAACTTTAATGTATACATCGTGAGAGATAAGTTTCAAGATGTGAATGTAGCTTAATGTATACGTTAAGAGAATTATAAGTTCCAAGATGTGATTGTAACTTTAATGTATACATCGTGAGAACGATTAGTTTCAAGATGTGAATGTAATTTTGTTGTGCAGGCCACCATCATAAAAACGATTTGTTTCAATAAACGTTCTAACTCATTACGAGATTGGACGAATTTAAATTTGAAGCTTAGAAGTTTGTTTTAATTTATTGATATTTTTTTACAGATCTCTGTATTTTCATATTATTTATATTCGTTCAAGTTCTATTTATTTCAATTAATTATTATTAAATGTGTAATCCTTTTATTGTTCCGATCATATAAAGATATAAAAGTATATACAACAAAGTTTAGTATATATACCCAGTGCCCTCCTCTGTACATATTACCATAGAAAATATTTCTGCCCTTTAAATCAAGACATATTTTTCTATTACTTTTCAATATTGAATGTCGTTCTTTGTGATCATTCTCACATAAGTTTTTTCCCCCATTGTTCATTTTAAAATTAACAAAAAAAACTTGAATAATTACTGACTTCAGTAATATATTTTCAAATCTCAGTATCAACACTGTTATTTTTTCTATCTGTTGATTATCAATGTATGAAACTTGTAATTTTCCTAACTTACTAGATAGATTTAATTATATTTTGTCTTTTGATGAATTTAATCCAATTAAAAATTTAAAAAAATTATTTTATGTTTATAGTTATATATTAATAGACATATTTCTTTCGTTCATATTATTCTTAATTTGGTAGCTAAGTTGTCATTTCAAACAAAACCTAGCTGTCTAATATAATGATGAATTAAATTGTAGATGTAATTTTTCCTAAAACAAAAGCAATAAGGATGTTATTTTCAAATAATACCTTTAAGTATATGCATGCGCTTTATTAAAGTAGCCTATCAAAAAGTAACATAAACATTTGCATAAACGTGCGCAGTGTTATAAAATCTGTGTTGAGTAGCCTACACGATATGGAAGTTTAGCGTCAAGCATAGGTTGAAACTTGGGAAAAAGGGAAATGTCTTTATTAAGATAATGATATTTTAGATTATTATAACCTGAATACATAATACGTTTTAAAGATATTTTTTATTTAGATGAAAATAACCTGAATACATTTTACCGTTTTAAAGATAATTTTTAAATTTTCATTTTAATACACTTTTAAATATGTATTAGATACTTTTATCATGTTATTATTTTCTGTATTAAAAATTAGCTGTAGAAACAAAAGTTGTATCAGTATCCAAATGAAGATCGCTGCATTTAACAAATGTTGAAACTACATCAGATCATCTTTTTCTTTTCGTACCTTAAAATCCAGCTGAAATTTAATTTCAAGATAAAAACATCGACTGAACTGTATAAGAAATTGTCTTTAATTTTTCTGGAAATAAATATTTGAACCAGGGGCGTGGCAATGTGTCTTCCCCAAGGGCGTGGCAATGTGTCTTACCCTTGGGCGTGGCAATGTGTCTTCCACAGGGCGTGGCAATGTGTCTTCCACAGGGGCGTGGCAATGTGTCTTCCCTAGGGGCGTGGCAATGCTTCTTCCCCATGGGCGTGGCAATGTGTCTTCCCCAGGGGCGTGGCAATGTGTCTTCCTGCCCCCTCGCACGCTCTCTACGCCTGTATAAGACCGTACACTTTCTGTTGATCTCAATAAAATTTAGCATCAGTTTTATATGGGAGAGTTTCATCTTATACAGAACAGTAGGAATGTATAAGATCCAACAATTTTATTGTACGAGGAAATAACCTTAAAGCAGTAAAAAAATCAATTTTTCATTACGCGAGACTAAAAAATCTCGTTAAATATTAAAGTCAAATTAAAAACAATATTTGATTTAATTTTCCTCTCGACAACAGTGTCAACTTTTTTCAGTGTTTTTTTTGTGTTCTAAAATGCTTGTCTACCCTTGTACATGCAATGAGTAATGTGTAAGTTGATTACAAGCGATTTTGTATTATAAGTTGATTAAATGTGATCAGTTATTTTTACCATGAGAAACGTGGTAAGTTATTTTTACCATGAGACACGTCATAAGTTATTTTTACCATGAGACACGTCATAAGTTATTTTTACCATGAGACACGTGATTATTATTATTTTCTGTTATTTTCTGACTTTTCTTGTCATCTTAAGATATTCATTCTCATGCAATGGAGTTTCCATCTACCAATCATCAATTGTTGCCGTTAATTATTTTAGTGTAGCGATATTTGATATTCGACACCATTTTAGTATTTACTAGAAGCTTTAGTATTATTGGATGTCGTGGACCGTATTAGACTTCCAGTACTTTCAATATTTAATGTTTTTATAACTAGATTACAATTTAAAGTAGCAAGTAATTAAATGTGTCAAGTATATAAGCTTTTAATAACACACTTGTCAACTTATTTTACTTGAAGCGAAAACAAATTAAATTGTCTTCTGTGTTCTACAAGCACACGTGAACTAGTCACTAGATTGTTGTAGCGTGTTATAACGTATAATACATTTTAAAGCTTTATAGTACTAATTACCTGATTGCTGTAGCGTGTAATGAGTTGGTATACATTTTAAAGCTATACAGTACCGCAGCGACAAACAAACAAATTAAAAAAGATTTTCCGGAACTTTTCGTTCATGAACACGTAAACATAAAAATTGCTGGAACCGCAGAGAAAGACGAGCAGGTCCAGGAACTGTATCGTCATACTTGCCATGTCCCCGTTACTCACCAACTGCTCGTTCAAGGCGCACACGACGACAAAATAAACCGTCTGGAAAAACGCAAATATCAAGGACACAGCCAGTAGAGTTCTTGTCGTGCGTGACGATAGTTTCTTGGAACCGGAACTCATCTGTTTCCGCTTCCGGTGTGTTAGTTTTATTTTTATCCCAATGAGCAGACAGCCAACGACGATGATAATGACAGGGAGGATTGACGTCATGTAGTTGACGACGTAGGAGTCGAAGATGAAGAGGATGTTGGTGTCGATGAAGTCGGAGATGAACCAGGTGCTGTACTGCTGTCGGCGGTCTAGGTAGACGAAGTAGTAGTCGAAGGACATCAGCGCGGATATAAAGACGACGTACGGGAACCAGAATAAATAAACGCCTATAGCAACAGCCCGAGCTCTTCTAGACGTTAGGAGTGTTTTAAACTTGAGCGGTATAAAAATAGCCAGCACGCGCTCGACTGTGATCACAACCGGTAAGTTTGTCGAGACAAACCCCGCCCATTGTATAAAAA